AAAAATGTAGATCATAAGCATATTTTTAACAATTTTTCAGGCAAATTTGCCTGGAAAAGCTTACAGATTAAGGGATATTATAAAATTAGAGCTTCTCTAAACACAACATTTCATGTATAAGTTTCAACATTATCTTGAATTAGGCTATTTTTAACTAATACCTTGAGATTTTGTTTTTCACGTACTCTAGACATGGCCATGTATAACTGGCCATGTAAGAAAACATGTTTTGAAAGATACAGGCCAATATGAGATAAAGTTTGACCTTAGGCCTTGTTTATAGTTAAAGCAAATGCTGGCCTTACAGGAAATTGCTTTCATTTCATTACAAATGGTAGTTTTGCATCTTCAGATTGGAATAGAGGATTCTAGGAATGAATACATGTTTTCCTTGATGTTCACTAGTTGCTATTTCAGCATCAATTATTTGTTCTTGCAATTGGTGGCATATAAGTCTTGTCTCATTACAAAGTCTATTAATTGGATCAAGATTTCTAAGTAACATTATTGGTGTACCAATCTTCAATCTAAGTTTATATGAAGGAAGACCTTGAGGTGTTATTGAGTTAAGATATTCTATAGGATAGAGGTTTAGATTGTCTTTCAGTACCGAATCAAAGCTATAATATGTTCATTGTTTTTCAGAATATTTGGTCATTATTTTTTCATTTAATTTATTGACATCACTGTTTAATGGGGTTAGTATTGCTCTTTCTGTCATAAACAAAGTATTTGTAGCATTTTCAGAGAGATTTTGATACATAGCATTTGTTAATAAATTAATGGAATCCTCATCTTTTTGTAAATGAATTACTATTTTATCAGAAAGGCAAATTAAGTTGTTTGCAATTGTTGTTTCTGTATCATTACCAATTCTAAGTAGATATTCAGCGAATTCTTTTGCTTTATAAGATGTAGTTTGAGCAACTCTCATATTAGTAGTCAAAGAAAAGACACATTTATGAATATGTTGCCATAAATAGGATTTATTAAGAGCAGCATTAACAATCTGAGCTTTAGAACTCTTAGGAACTACAGGTAAAACCTGATGAAAGTCATCACCAAACAAAATTACTTTACTGCCAAAAGGAAGTTCATTATTCATAATATTCTTTAAGGTTCTATCAACTGCCTCAGGGGCATGATGATGAACTATAGGAGCTTTGTCTCAAATAATTAATGCAGTTTCTTGAAGCAACTTTGCTAAATCACTTCCTTTTTCAATATTACAAGTAGCATTCATATTTAAAATTCTGATTGGTATTTTAAATTGAGAATGCACAGTACATCCACTATGCAATAATAGTGCAGCTATTCTAGAGGATGCTACTGCTAATGCAATTTTATTGTTAGTATGTATATATGCAAGAAGGCACTCATAAAGATAGGTCTTTCCACTTTCAGCTGGACTATCAACAAATAGTACACCATCTTTATCTTAATTTATTAGACTAAGTACTTCATCAAACACTGCACATTGTGCTTCATTTAATGTATTTATTTTATCAAGATCATTTAAAGTAATATTATAAGATAACTCTTCTAGAAGCATTGGTAACAAATTTTTATTAATAGCATCTGGTTGAAAATTTGGTAAGTCATAATCAGCAACAGTTTTTGAATATCTTTGCAATAATGTATTCAAGCTTTGAAGTGTTGTTTGTATTAAAGGTTGCTTATTCAGAATTCCTTTATGTGCGAAATCTTCTGACATTGCATTAAAGTTTTTAACCTACAATTGACGCACATCTGCAATATCACCAAAAACTAATAATGTTGCAAAAAGATCATGCAATTGACTGGGCATTTGAAATTCTCTTGCTTCAGTCATACATTGTCGATAGTCATTATCATTTTCAAGAAAACCTCTTCGCAAAGCACTTTCTTTAAAAGTAGCATATACAGTACCATTTACTGTTTTGAGTTCTTCAAAATTCATGGCCCTCTTAACTTTTGTTAAGAGTAGTCACAGATAATATCGTTCACCTAAATAGTACATTAGTTTAACATTATTTTAACAAATTTTAACAATTTTTTATTTATTTATCTTAATTTAAACAAATGCTAATTGGTATTTCAACAGAGAAGTTAAAAAAAAATAAAATAAAAAATAAAAATATAACAAAAATGTAGTTAAAAAAAAATAAAAAATAATTTTCTTGAAAAATCATTTTTATACTTATTTAATAATTATTTATTATAGATACTTTGTCAATATAAATTATTTATTCTTAAATAATTGTTTTATTAAATTTAATATTATAGTATTAATAGTATAATGAGTTAGATAAATGATATGATTAAAGAGATAAGTTTGATTGACAATTGTTAAACAAAATAAAAATTTAAAAATTTATTAAGAAATAACTAATTTTTAACAAAATTACTTTATCTTTGTTCAATAAAAAATAATACAGTATTACTTACTTTTACTTGAATGTACTATATAAATTCTTCTAATGTAGCCTCTACGCTTACATTTTTTCCACTTTTTAATTGCTTTATCCCATATGTAATATAGTGGAAAATTAGCATAAAGCAAATTTCTAGCATTTAGATCTTCAGTATTTGTGCTAAAATATTCAGTAAGAGTTGTGCATTGGTTTTGCTCTGCTGAAAGTACTTTATTTAGATCACTACTTTCATCAAATTTAACTATTTGTTGGTTTTGAAGATAAACTTGCAAATGTGTAACAGCTGGACTAATCCCATTTATTTTAAAACCTAAAATTCACCAAACTGCTTCAGATGCTGAAACCCAGCGAGCTTCTACAAAATTTCGAATTTCGTTAACTGTAACTTACTGCTCTTGTATATTGTGCTGGTCTTTTTCTTCAGTAACTTCAATTATTGTTCTATCATGACCCTTATATACATATTTAAATAAATATTTAACTGCTTTAATGCTAGCACAGATTTCTATATTAATATGACAGTTGTACTTTGCACTGAGAAATATATTATATAGAACAACCTAACGATTATCTAAGTTAAGTACTTGATTCCTTATTTTTATTTTAACTTTTTTACTATTTTGACAGTGACGATATATAGAATATAAGCTATTACTCTAAAGTGTTTCATTTTGAAATTGCTTGGGATATTCTTTAGAGCATCGCTTATGTCCTTAACTATCATCAGTCATACATAGTGCATTGATATTAAGCTCTTCACATGGTTCATAAAGCATACTTGAAATAACTGATGTATATGCTCTAGAATTAATAAAAGGGTCAGGTATTTCAGCACTAACAATAGCATCATAATCATCAGGTGATTGTGGTTTGTCTTCAGAATGGAGTATAAGTAAAATGTGTACATAAGGAAGTCCTCATTTTTGAAATTTGATAACATGTATGTATGCAATAACACATCCTAATATACTATATTCAAAAAGATCTTTTTTTAATTCTTGAAACTTTTCTCTAAAAATTCGTGCTAATGAAACTAAAAAAAATTTAAGTATAATTACAAAACTAATACTTTTTTATTAGATAAAATTATATATTTCTTTTAATATATTATTAAATTTCTATATTATTAAAATTTTAAAAAGATTGTTCAACTCAAATAATAAAACGATAAAATAAAATACCTGTAATATCTGGTCGATCTTGAGTCATTTGTCCCAGTAATAGCAATTCTTGAATTTCAGACCAGCTTGGATTACATATCATAGTAATAAATAAATCAGGCTAACCAACCTTTAATAAAGCTATTGCATCCTGATATCTTTGTATCATATCACAAGAACCCCCAATGAAAGTAGATGAAAAAATTATTCTCTTGCCAATATGCTTTGGATCATTATTACTATACAGAACTGCATCCTAAATGCATTGATATAAATTACTTCTAATCTTATTCTGGTTTTGTCGATAAAAATTTAAGCGATTTGACTCAATTTTTATATACATATCAACTATGAATTGTTGGAAAGTCTTCCAGTTTGTAAAAGTAAATTGATGGATTGGGGTCGAATTTGAATTTTATATGCATAATACTCCATTGTGCTCACAAACTTTCTACATCGATTCGTGCTAGTGTTTTTATTTTCATAATCTGAATCATTACTATTCACATTATCATGAATTTCATTATTATTTTCGTATTCTAGTTCATCATTGTTATTTGATTCTTCAATAATATTAGTTACTTTAGATGTTAATTGAATGCCTATATATAGAATTTTTTGAGGAGCCCATCCTTGTTCTCTATAAGGTAACAGAATTGGATAAGCTAAAGGATTATAACATCCACTAATTTCGGTAATATGAACTAGCTGATCTATATATATATGCAATACAATGTCCTGTTTTTGTATTATATTAGAAGGCACTTCAGAATTAACCCAAATTGCTGCTACCTGTGATGCTGTTGGGGCATTATATGTTCTTTAATCAAGACCTGAAATATCTGCACAAATAATCATAGATAAATTTCTAATACTTTCAGTAGGTAGTCTAGAAATATGACGAAAGTTATGAATATAAGGATTTATTTCATTGAACATAGTTTTTAATAACTAAATAATGTCTAAGTTAAGTTTAGAAGTAGGAACTACATTTGTTCAGTAGTGAAGTTCATGTTGAGTATTACAGATATACATCTGCAAGTAGCAAGGTTCATTATCAGGCTTCAGTAGTAGTGAACCAATTCTATGATAAAAAGAATCTTGAACACGAAAAGTGTAGAACTACTTTTTGCATTAGCAAGTTTAGGATTAAATTTAGCACCAGTAGAAGTAAAAGTAAAAGTGAAATTATAAAAATGGATTTTTTCTCTAAAATCTTTAGCAATATTATCTTGACCGGTAATAAGATAATTTAAAAATGAAGGAACATTAGGTTCTGCTAATGCCACTTTTCCATTAGAACAACACATTCCAGAGCTTTCCATAGGCAGTTTTAAGGCATTGCAATGAATGCAATTGATAATATTATTAATATTTATATAATGTGGAATCAGATGATTATTTGCATTTACAGTTTCAGAGAAGTTAAGAGCAAAGTTATATAGTTGAAGGTTGTTTGCACATTGTTGATTTCGACTTTGACATTGTTTTTTAGTTTCACTTGATCGTTATTGGTGTTTTGAACTTGCATCTTGTTGCTGTTGATAATAGTGGTGCTTACATGTTTCTATAGTTCCACTTCTGCATTTTCGAGCTGTGTCAGCTTTTTTTTGTTCTTGTTTTGTAGATTTATTCTTTGTATATGGCATAGAATCGAATAGAGTAATAGTTAAATATAGTTAAATTCTAAAATTATTAAGTTATATTATTAATGAATAAAAGTGTAAAAATTTTAACTTAGCTACACCTAGAAATATCAGGTTATATATATGGAGTTAGTATCATTATACGTGTCTTATAATTATTGACTTGTAAGATCATACAATAATATGAACATGTAATGATTAATAAAAATGCCAGTTATCAGAAAACTAAGCTAGTACTTAATGTCATAATATGTTCATTTAATAGTACAGATACTGCCTATTCTTATTATATGATTTTCTTTTTATATAACTGGCACAAATAATTAAAGTTCATAAATAGTACTAATACATATAAAACAGTATATTTATTATCTATTACATATGTTCGTTTAATAGTATAGATACTGCCTATTCTTATTATACGATTTTCTTTTTATATAACTGGCACAAATAATTAAAGTTCATAAATAGTACTAACATATATAAAACAGTATATTTATTATCTATTACATATGTATATTTATTAGAGATTCTGTGTATGCTTAATATGATTTCTTTTTTAGCATTGTATTATGTAATCAGCACAAATAATTAAAGTGTATAAATAATACTGACATATATAAAACAGCATATTTATTTATACTACTATAATATGTATATTTATTAGAGATACTGCCTATGCTTATTGTAGTATATAACTGGCACAAATATATTTATTACCTACTATATATGTATATTTATTAGAGACATTTATTAGAGATGATGATCGATCACTCAATCTTATTGTTCGTTAAATTTTTTTATATCGACAATATATAATACAATTCTACATGTATATACAACATATATATGTCTTTTAGATATACTGTAGATCAATTGGAAGTGTGCTTAGAGTAGTTTATAAATAATATAAGTTTAAGTTATCTGAAACAATGAACTGAGATTATTATATTTTTTAAATTATAATATTATATAAATATATTTAAAGCTATTAAATTATATTATATAAATATGAAGGTGTGGCGACCTAGTGAAGTGGATAGATTGTCAACCCTCAAGTGGCAGGTCTAAGGTTCAATTCCCACAGACAATGAATTTTGAAAATTATATCTGTATTATAGTAACTGTCTCTACCAATCAGTTGGGTTTTGGGCATCTGTAATCTTAGGTACATGAAGTTGGGCCCTATCTGACATTGGGAGCTCAGGGCATCTATGCAAAGTGTAACATTACATGATACATGTACATAGAGGAATGTAAAACCGGTGTCGTATAAGGCTTCAGGCAAACCCATGATAAGTCCCCCAGATGTAGAAGGCTAAGAAACTGAAGAGACAGAAACCCACTTGGAAATCCCAAGTAAAGAGGTAGCACAAACTTTCGATGGTGCCATTGGACTAATGGAAGCCAATGAAACACCTTCATAGGAACCGTCAGATAAACCGGATAACAAAGATGTATAGAGGAGCACATAACCAACCAGGCCGCCGGA